GGGGAGCCGCTGCCTCTCGTTGAGTTGAACCAGCCACCAGTAAACCCTAAACCCTAAACCCTAAACCCTAGACCCTAAACCCTTTGTTTAGTAAACCCTAAACCATGAACTCCTTGGCTTCTGTGTGTGGAGTCAAATCAACCACCGCTAAACCCTAAACCCTAAACCCTAAACCCTAGACCTTAGAAAACCCTAAACCCTAGGTGCTTCAACTCGTGGTTCTACGCCATATCCTTAGGGTTTAGGGTTTAGGGTTTAGGGTTTAGGGTTTAGGGTTTGTGGTTTAGTCTCCCCCCACGCCTGACAAGGGTTTCTTCTTTCTGGATGCTTCTTACGCCTTCGCAAACCCTCCTTCTCCCTTGGGTGCCGACATGGGCCAGGTAAACCCTAAACCCTAAACCCTAAACCCTCAACTCCTAAACCCTAAACCCTAAACCCTCAACGCGAAGCCCTAGGCCCCCTGCAAAACCTCTCCTGGGGCTGTTGCTCTAAATCTGGGTTTGAGATACACGTGCTAGGGTTTAGGGTTTAGGGTTTAGGGTTTAGGGTTTAGGGTTTGGGTGTATCTGCAGATCGACGATCCCCTTGATGCCCCCTGGCGGCGTCGTGCTGAAGAAGTTATTCGGTTTGTATTAGGGTTTAGGGTTTAGGGTTTAGGGTTTAGGGTTTGAAGCTTTAGTTTTTTCTAGGGTTTAGGGTTAATGTTGTAGGTTTTAGGTTTTTTTTTTGTTTGTTTGACGACAAGCGCTGCTGCCATTTTCCCGTAACACTATTCCTAGGGTTTAGGGTTTAGGGTTTAGGGTTTAGGGTTTAGGGTTTAGGGTTTGAGGGTTTGCAGACAAACTGTAGCCTTTGGCTGGCCCCCCACAGTGAGGAGGAAAACCACCGGCTTTGTATTGAGGGACTGCTCCTGGGAGCAGCATCGTTTGCTGCTGCCTGTGCAGCAGCAGCAGCAGCAGCAGCAGCAGCAGCAGCAGCAGCAGCAGCAGCAGCAGCTGCTGCAGCAGCAGCAGCAAGTTGGAGATGAAGACTACAGCAGCATTGTCACAGTGCAGGATCTAAGGCATCTCCTACAGATGATTCGTAATTAAAA